TTAAATTTTATCGCAAAATAAAATGAATACGATTCAAAATCAAATGAAGATTAAAAATTCAGGATAATATTTAATTATAATTGCGTTTATTGTAATTATAAATCATTCACCAGGATATAAATTATAAGTCACATATAAAAATGTATTTTTATTATTTTTTTTTAACTAATTGAATTTAAAATAAAATATATATTAACTTAAAAAAAAGTGTTTATAAATAATAATTTTATTTTAAATGTAAAAATTATCATGAGAAAATAATTAATACATTTAACCAAATCATTTTTTCAAAAATATTTAAAATGCATATTTAAGTACTTGAAAAGTAACAAATTAAATACTTTTACTTAAGTAGGTACTTAACAAGACTAAGTATAGACAGTATTGAGTATAGTGATACATTCTAATATACTCCCATGTATAGACACTTATAATTTAAAAATCAAACTAATAGTTTAAAATTGACTTACTTAAATATTTTTATGAGTAATTAGATTAGTTATTTATGCATTGGTTATATCAGATTGATCATTTTTGTAGTGATCAATTCACCGCAATTAGCAGTTGCTTATTTCAGAGGATTACGCGATAATGACCTTTATTGAATTTGTACGTTACATTTGCACTCGACCTCTGAACGTATAGCGTAATTTTTTTCAACAAGAAGTCCTAGTAAAAAAACACCGCTATTTTATGAACTAGTAGCAAAAATACACACAAACATACACGATGATTGGGACTTGTGGGAAGGTCGATACTAGGCCGTAGATTACTGACATATACATTTTTTTATTATTTTGAAACTCGTTTTTCACAATGCCTACGATCTATTTTATACATTTAGTACCTAAGCGTAACATATAATATACGCACCCAAGTATGTATGAGTGCATGTTATCTTCGCGTGATTGATAATGGTTAGGAGTTAACTCGCGTACGTATTATATTTTTGACAGACCACCTGAGGACATTTTGACATACAATTACTTCTTCTTATCTTCATTTCAGCTTAGCGGTCCATCTATTTCTGAATGTGTGTCATAATTGACGCTACCATCGCGAACTTTCTTAATCGATTTCTTATTTAATACGATATGACTGCTAAATTTTTGGAAATGTGATTAAGAGGACGCCACACCCGCATGTGTTGTCTCCGTTTTACATACAACATAGCAAATTTTCATTCAGAAAAAATCCATTTTATGTTGTAATTTTAATTATTAGAATAAATTTACCTATTATTAAACTTTAAAGTAAGAATTTTATATAGGCCATCATATAGGCTATTATTAATATTATAATTTTAAAGTGAGTTATGGACATTTTAAAGTTTTAATATTTTATATAGTATAACTCAATTTAAAATTAAAATATCAATAAAAGCCTATGTGATGGCTTAGATAAAATGTTTACCTTTAAATTTGATAACAGGTAAATTTACTTTTTAATGTTAAAGCTAATAACATAAAATGCATTCTGCTGAACGAAAATTTGCTATGTTGTATGTATGTAAGACGGAGATAACATGTGCGAATGCGGCGTTTTCTTAATACGAGTATACAAAAATTGAGTATTCGATATTATTATACGATAAAATTTATACCACATTTAACCTATATACATATAATATAAGGAATACAGGAGGCCAGACGATGTTGACGTATGTGGTACTTGTATGAGTATACGTATACATACCTATACATCGTGTAGTGTTGTGAAATGTTTTGTCAGAATTTTTCACACGCTGTATTGTTATCCTTCTCAATTTTTAATATATAGCTATATAGTGTACAATCACGTGCAAAACAATAATATTCTACTGCGTATACTGTATACAATATATAAATACGCGTATTTATATATACAGATGGGTAGTGATGCGAAGGAATAATGTTAAAGTCAAATACAAATATATACATTATACACCTATACTTAATTTTAATTTTAACAAAAATTATTTACATTTACTCATTGATACAACGATATTTACTATCTTGAGTCTTGATAAACATCATAGTAAACCAGGGCTTGCATTTGAAAGAAAAAAATTTGTTTTACATTATTTACAATAATTAAAATGTTATACAAATTTTGAGTTTATCGTTATTCAGAATTAAAATTTTTTATTTATTTTATAATCTATAACCATTAAATAATCGGAAATAAATTTTATTTAATGATACAATATAACGTTTTGCGTTATATTTTGTTTGATGATATATCATATGTTTTGTTAATCGTTATGTTTTGTTTTGTATTATTTAATTATTTATGTTAATCGTTTTCTGTTATAATTACGTTTACAAATTTCAATCATTTTTTGTCAAATATAACATTATTATAACGTTTATAAGTCCTATAGTAAACATATCTTTAGTCAGGTACTGACTACTGAGTAATTGAACCTATTCCAATAGAATATAGGTGTCTTTCAGCTAATTCGCGCCTACTTCCAATATTTACATCTTTTTATTGAAAAACATGTTTGCATATAACTAGTAGTAGGTATATTTTATTTTTATTTTTATTATCACACTTTAGTGCAACTAAGTTAAAACGATGACCAGTTTGATGTAATAATCTAGTTTTTTCTCATGTTAACTGGACATTGTTCGTCGCCTTAACTTGGTCACAATATTATAATTTAATTAAATACAATCATTATAATTAAACAAAATAATATTCCTAAAATTAATAATTTAGTTTATACAAACTTACCTAAAATCTAATTAGTGGCTTTCTACAGTTAGTGTAATCTACTCAGAGTTTTATTTTTTTAACTATTAACTGCTAACTTGACTTTACTTTAGTTATTTAAGTTAACCCGTGTTATCATTGCTATGTCCTGAGCTCAAAAAATTGTCACCAAATTGAGAAATTTCAAAAAACTTTTAAAACGGATTTTTTTTTTTATCGGAAAATTAGGTGTCGGTAAATTGAATAGTCTCTATTGAATAGATAATACCAATAATAGGTATAATAGGGCTCTCTAGTCTCTTGTAGTTTATTATATACTAATACTTGTTTATTCAATACAAAACCAGCAAGCTACAATGTTTGATATTTAGTTAGCACTATTTACTATCTACTTTATAAGATATTCGATATTTAATAACCATGGTTATCTTATCGTGTACATAACAGTGGTCCATGGTTGGTAATAAGTTGGACTAGGGACTCATGCTCTAAAAATATTCAAAAATGCTAAAATATACTCATAAAAATATTTATTTTTTTTTACAAATGTATTTATTATTAAACAAGGAGTTTTTAATTTAACTTTAACAACAAAAAAACTGTACCTAGTTTAGAATATTATACTAACACCAGACTAAAATAAATACGATAGGTACCAATAAACGAATTGTCATAAACTGACCGTATTCGGCGTATTACTTATCGACTTACTTAATGTTTTTCACAACACACAGATAATTGGAAAAACACACAGTAGATAGATTATTTTATTAGTTTAATCTGTTTTTTTAATTTCTAGAAAATTAATATAATATATTATATAGGTAGTTCGTTTAAAATATTATTCTATATGTTACAGATTACGTTTAATTATTTTTTTTTAACAAAATATGTGAAATATTAAATATAATATACTTATTACTAATACGTAATAATTAATATCCGTCGATAATATAGGACTGAAAATAAATTACGATATTTGTTTTAAATTTCGGATGTAAATCATTAATGATGATAAAATAATAATGCATTGATTTCACTGATAAAATGTACATACTAATGTCAAACTTGAAATAGTTGAAACTATACATATGCCGCATAGAAGTAGTTACGATTTAAAATAATTTGATATCTATATATGTACCATATAAAATGGGTCTTTGTTAATTATTGTGGTTTTTATAGTGACGTTAGATGTTATTGCGATTACAGCAGGTATGTATTTTTTTAAACATATTCTGTATCAAGGTAATAAATATCCCATACGTACCTACACAAAGAATAAGGTTATATAGATTAATACATCATAATATGTTTAGTACAAGCTTGATGTTCACTAACTTTAGAATTTTAGAAAACTTTAAAGATTATTGTATAGTGTTTATACTCTTCATAACATTGTATAGATTTGTTACTGGTAAATTATTTGATTGATAAAACATCCAGAACGTCATGACGTCTTCCTACATTATACTTTAAGACATGAATTCAAAATCAATTATATTTACTCCCCCCCCCTGCTACTCACAACAAAGAAATAAATCACCATAAGTTAATGCTTTATTGTGGATAATAATAAGAAAATAAGTACGAAGTTAAGCTCTGCATAAAATATATACTACTTTCTTTATTTAGCATAGCCAAAACTTGAGGTGTAGTTGCGCCTATTGTGAGCAGTGCGCGGCAACTTATCATACATTTTGACTGAAACTTATGCGGTAACCTCTAGAGCCCTATTATGCTGTAATTGTACAAGTATACTTACCAATCTTTCCTATAACTTCGTAATAAGATTAATATTTTATACTCTCAGGAAAAAATAAAAGTATTAATATTTAATAAATGTATTTATTTTAATGTTTAATATGTAGGTAGGTGTTAATTACTCGGACTTTATACTTTAACTTTTAACCTAAAAAATATCATGGATAAACAATTAGGTAGGTAAAAGTACCTATATTATTTTATAGTTAAACTTTTTTTTTGTTATTTCCCCTTGAAATTAACTGATAAATGTCAGTAAAAATGTTATTCATACCCTAAAATAATAATAGAATGAAAAAATAATCCATCAGGCCAGAAGAAATATTTTTATTACCTATTTATAAACCTACTAGTTGGTAATTGTGTACATATTATGTGAATATGTGATTACTGATTATAATAAATTAAGAATTATTTACTTGTTCTTTAATTAAGAGCTTTAGATAAATGTATTTTTTTTTTTTTATCACTATGGGTTAAACATTCATAGATTCGGGTCGAAATAATACACACATCTCATTAATATTTTAATAAACATCAGTTGTAGGTACTAATAAATTGTATTATACACATACCAGTATTTCATTAGTAACCATACCTAAACTAAACGACCTTGACTAGGTTTAGTAACATTTAGTTTTGTTTGAAAACAAGGCAGTCAGTAAAATATTATTATAATAAGTATTTTTTGTAGTTTATAAAAGTAAAATGTATAAGACAAGTGTGCTATGGTTATGTACTTCACTGTGGTCAGTTGGACTAGCAGTCACTCCATTACCATCACGGTCACCAGAAAAAAATACTTATGTTGATTGTACAGGACCCATTGCATTTTCATCAACTGGGAGTACATCAGTCTATTCTACAGGTCTGATAGCATATAAACAGACTATTGTTAATCTAGCTGTAACGTGGGATCGTGAGGTTGGTGTCTTCACGTGCACTTGTTCCGGCCTTTACCAATTCTCTTTCTCTGGTTCCACCGAAGAAAACACAAGGTAATTGCATTGGTTACAAGGGAATAGGCTTTTAGACAACTATGTTAATAAAATCATAACATAGGATGGTGTTGAAGAAAAGATTAAACAACAGTAAACAGTGGACACCAATTATAGCAACAAAACCAGGTGGTGGATCAGCTACAATACTTTTAGAAGTAGAAAATGGAGATCAAGTAGCTGTATATTTGGATGGAAATTCAAAAAAATTCAATGCTAGACATGAACAAGGCATAGAAGTTACATCGTTCAGTGGTTACAGAATAGCAAAATCTTAGTAAAAATAAAGTATTTTTTTACTTACATACAACACAATACAAGATTTGTATTATCATTAATATAATATTATATAAAATTAAAAAATTAGCTTTAACCTTGAAAAATACTATGTAGACAGACATTTATAAGGAACATCTAGTTGATGCTCTAAAATATTATTTATACTTATAAGAAACAATAACTTTTTTAATATGCTGTATGTGTTACTGGTGAATTATTATTAGTAATATGTTTAAAATTTAATCAATAAATTATTATCACATACACACAAGTAATAGATTAAAATTAATACAGGAAAGAATAAAGATTATATTATTCATTTAATATTTATCAAAATCAATCAATAAATTACCAGAGAAAATTTAAAGTAAAATAAGACTTTATTTTAAATGTTTTACTTAATTAGTTAAAGTTGACCATTTTTAATAGATAAATAGATATTTTATTAATTAATATTTCAAATAATAATTTTTAAGAATTTTTGCAATAACTATCTATAATAAATATGCAATTAATAAAAAAGTATGGTAATAAACAGTTGACAATTGATTTTTAATTTCTTCTTAAATTTGGTAGTAATTAATAATTAGTAATATTTAAGAATATAGATTGCTAAAGAAGTTAATAATATAAATTACATAGATTTTGATTTATTACTCTTAAAATTCCTTAATATTTCAATTTAGTTTTGTTATTATTATTTTTTTTTTGTTATTATTGTTAGAAATCAAAAATTTAATATATATTTTTAATACTTTTATTTTTTTGTTTAAACTAATTTTATTTTGGGTTTCCAAATATGTACATACCTAATAAATTTTGTTAAAAATTAATCAAAATCACATTAGTATTTATTTTTTTTAATTTTAATATGAAGCTCTTAACATTTTCTATATACATTAAAAAAAATAGCAATAAATAAAACATTTACAGCACATTAAAATACATAAAAAATAAATTAAAATAAGTAACTTGCATTCAAATTAAACTTCAATGGCTAATAACAAGAGATTACTCATATATAATAATAATAATAATAATAAAAGGAATAATAACCAATTACAAACTGAGCGACAAATACAAAATAATAGAAGTTTAAAATCTCGTTGCACTTATAAAATAATCTTTAAATTGATTATAAAAGTTGATTTATTAATACAAAATATAAAATTAAATTTATAATAAAATAGGTTTAATTATTAAATAAATTCACAGCTTTTTGAAATATTTGTTTTGGGATATATTAGAATAAATGGCACCGTGCTTTGGACCAAAATAGATTATTTAAATTTATTAAATGTATTATGTATATATAAATATACTTTAATTAACATTTTATTAGTTCATATTATTTTACCTAATTTAAAGCAGCAGATGTTAATAATGCAACACCTCTTTCATAGAATGTGTGATGATCTTGTCCAGGAGCTACATCTAGTTCCACGGTGAATAATAATTCAGCTCGGGTAGAATTCAAATATACTGGTAAAGACAGTTTATCAGGTCTTAAATGACCTTCGGCTGATACACTAAAAAATCCAATTTTTATTAAGAAAATAAACTTTGACAAGACATGTTTAGTAAATAAAATGTATACTTACTGTGTCCATCGTAACAATGTCACTGGTAAATCAGTCATTATGGATGAAGTTAATAACAACTGATTATTACGACATTGTGCACCCTGTAGTTTTAAACCTAAAATCATAAAAAAAGGATAACACTAGAATTTTTTTTTTTTTTTAAAGCTTACCTATAACACCAAAGCTACATTCATCTTGTTGAACTGAATCATACTCTAATGCATCAGTAATAGTTACATCTAGAATCAATTCTTCTAAGGACCAAGAGTTGGCTTGTGCAATACACTGTCTGGTCGCTGTAATGTAAGCTTCTGGATTTAATAGACCCCCAAGCCATACTGGGAATGACTATAAAAGCAATAATTGTGAAAATAGTAATACAAAATTATACTCAAATATTTATAACTTACTTTGATTTGATTGGCACCTCGTTGAGAAACAAGTTGTGATACTTGTTGTAATTGTTTGACACGTTGACTAAAATCAGATACCCATTGGATAACTGTACATCCGCTGGGTACTGTGTATCGGCGCCAACCAACTGGCAATTTTCCTTTAACCAAATCACTAAACAAGCTTCTATGATAATTGGTTTGTTTTTTTTCCCCCTATGAATAACAATTAATAAATAATTCAAAAATATTTATGTACATTGTAGTATAACATTGAACATACTTGACATATAGCTACTACTTCATTTAAATCATGTATAACTTCCTGTAATAACTTTGAACCAAAATTGACTTCTCGTTCGAAATATCGATAAAGGGGATCCTTTATATTCTCTACAGTACGTTTTAATGTCTGAAGTGACTGAGGTAAAAGTTGTAGCCAAGTAGTTGCTGAGTTGTGCAACGTTCTCATCCATGCTGGACGACCATCAGATGTTGGAAGTCCAATACTAGAGTCAGGTCCTCCATCTTTAACGCCTTGTTCAGTAACATAAGCAAGTTCATCTTCATCTTCTAGTTGTTGCATCTTCAATAATTTGCTAACCAAATCGGTACCTATTTAATTAAGAATTAATTATAATAATGAATTTATAAATAAATATTGTTTTTTTTAGTTTTTGACATACCTCTAGTTGTCAGTAGTACTTTTTCAGCATTGTTTGGTAATCCTAGCCAAGATGGTGATTGTCTATCAGACAAATTTTCTATCCAATGTAAAAAGTGATCACGCCTTGATCCATTGGGCATTGTAATATGCCTAAAATAAATTTGTTTGGTAAATTAACTAAAAAATTAAGATAAAAATAAATATGTTCTTCAGTACCTATTATCTCCTCCAACACCATCTACATTAGCTACTAATGCAAATCCTGTTTCAAAACTACGCGCTGTAAACAACTTGCTTAAAAATGATGTCAATAGCCTTTGATCGTAGTCATTGTCAATTTTACCACCATAAATACATTGTGATAATAATGTAACTAATGCATCCCATGGAATTTTTTCAGGAGGTAAATTTGTACGGCTCTAATTGTTTATTTAATTAAATAAATAAATTTAAAATCTATTTTTTTTACTTAAGAGGATACTACACTCACATGTGGTGTCTCCATCTTACAAATGTATAGCATAACAAATTGTTCATTCTGAACAATAATTTAACTCTGATATATTTAAAATAACAGCGAATTGACTCAATAATCAAATCTAAAAGTAAGAATATTACCTAATGAACTTCATAGGCTTTTTTTAATATTTAAACAAGTTACAAGAATTTTAAAAATTTAAATTGTTTATACATTTTAAAATGTTCATCACTCACTTTCAAATAAAAATATAAAAAGATGCTATAGGATTCACTAGTTTATATTCTTACTTATAAATTTGATAATAGGTCAATGTACTGTAATATTAAACATGACAGAGTTAAATGGATTATTCAGATCAAACAATTTTTTATGCTATGCACTTGTAAGACAGAGATAATACAAGAGGGTGTAGCGTACTCCTTAATATAAAATTAGAACATACTTTTGCTGTTGTTTCAATCCATGTATCCAATGTGTCACAAGCAACTCTTAGATCAGATTCATTGAATTCATAATGTTTAGCCCAACCAAGTGGAGTATAACGTAGACGCTCTTGAACAATTGCATGGAACCATGCAAGTAAAAAGTATAATCTAGCTCTTTCATTGGGTACTTTCATCATGCGTGATGCCGGAATCTAAAAACACATTATATTAAATACATTCTATATAAATTTTTAATTTTTAATACTTACAGTATTGAATGTCCGTAACAAATTAGCTTTTACACCGGGTGGTGGTTCAAATACAAATATACGTCCAGCTCTCAATAAATTTACAGGTACGGCAGAATTTATTTCCATTGTTAAAAATAGTCTGAAGTTAGTATGTGGTTGAAGACTGTGAAGTTTCTTTTCAAGCTGTACTAACCATTGAGGAGCCAGATGAACATTTTTTAACAACACCCATCTTGAAATATTTAAAAAAGCAAAACATTATTTATGATAAGACAAAATTAATATTATGTTATATACCGTCCAAGACGAACAGCAGAATTTATGGCATCAGTAGCTTGACGGAAACCTTCAGCTGAACCAATTGCTACAGACGACAACAATTGATTATGTTGAGTAGCAAGATCATCAACACGACCAGAAGCATCATATCCAGGGGCCGAACATAAAAGTGCTGGTACACTACAGTCTAATTCGTTTAAGACAATAGTTGCCAAGTCAGGTTCTCGTTCTGCTGAAGAAGTTAATTGAGTACCCAGAGTTGCTTCAACAAATAGATTAGCTGATGCTATCACTCTATCTGGTCGGAATGCCTAATTATAGAATTGAAAGAAATAAATAAATCACAAATGTTTATGATATAATTAACAACATGATGTTTAAGAAATACTTGAATAGCAAGAAGTTGATACATGGCGGTAGCCACAGGACTAAATGGAGTTGATTCATCCCACAATTTGGGAACACATTGTTCAGGTGTATTCTGTGCAAGCCATGGGCCAAACTCTGGCATCTCCTCAACTCGTTCTGATAAATTTTTAAATGATGAAATTCTATGTGATAATCTAATCATGGCTTCAATTTGTTCTTGGTTCAGACTACTAAGAGAACCCTGTCCAGATGAGTTATTGGAACTCAAAACTCCTTCTTTACCACGAAGGAAGAATTGGAATTCTGAGTCCAACATATTGCCAATTGGAGACCCCTTTAAACTGATTCGACACAACAATATTGCTAATGTCAACCTATCATTATGTAACATTCCTCTGGCTACTCTTTCGTAACAAACCTAAACATGATTTATTGGTTATTTTAAACATCAATACAAATAATTATTTTTATAATTCTTACAGTGAATAAATCCTTAGTAACAATATCTAATCGAGATGTGTGATCAGTGACAGATGCCAACCTGGGATTAGACAATAACACTGAACTGAAGATATCCAAAAAGAATTTTAATGAATACTGGTAAAGGAAATGGACTTGATTTAAACTGTCCATAGTAAAGTACATATTACTACAAGCTTGTGCTAAAGGTTTATATTGTTGCGAAACTGTTTCAATTTCTGCAATAACTTTATCTGTTTCTTCCACCTTTTTGCTTATATCTGCTGCTTCTTGTTTAAG